TAAAAAAAAAAAAAAAAAAAAGAAAAAGAAAAAGAAAAAAGGGAAGAATCGCTTTATAAATAAGAATGTAGACATAATACATCAAAGGTATATTGACTTCTTGCTCGATCGAAGAAATCTCGGCAGGAGATTGCAAAATGTGCCTCGTCACTTCAAGTGTACAATGCGATTCCTCTTTCGATGAAACTTCTCGAGCTGTGGCACGTGAAAGAAGTTTCCTTTCCCGAAACTCCATCGAGATTAACGACACCGCTTTGACTATTAATCATGTGTGCAATTCATTATGAAGGAGAAAAGAAACGACGATCTGGGTCAATGTTAACTGCCCCAAGTTTCCAGTGCTGACGAAACTTCAAAGGTACGAAAAAAAGGCTTGCAAAAGGAATGTAAGGAATGTAAAGGAGAGGATAATCGGATTAACCGATTAAACCATGGTAGAAAAAGCGTATCGTTTATACGGAAAGGAACGTATTGCCTTCTTAATAACTTAATCGCCTTCCATAACGAGAAGGGTTAAACAGAGAGTAACCATAAAAAAGCCGATAATGTGTGATGGTTTCTGTGCTGTAAAAACGATCAGTGATGGGATAAAGTAATCACGAATAAATTCGAATCTAATTGAGAGTTTCATCGAATTCCTGGTGAAACAGTTTTGTGAACAGTTTTCGAAAAATATAAATATTTTTAAATTCAAATTTGATATAAAAATGATATAAAAATCTGGTCTAATTTTTTAATAATATACTATATCAAGTATAAATTAAACATACAATTCTCAGGTAAACAAAACGATTAAAATAAGAATATCGAAATAAAATTATCGCGAAGAAGAAAAAGAAAAAATTCCATGTTTCACTAATTTACAATTACAACAAAGATCGATCAAAAACATGGAAATTAAGATATAAAAGAATATGAAATCGAATAAACCGAGGACACAACCTCATAGCTTTCCATCTAATTACCACGGATGAACGTATCAATTATCACGAACCAGTTAATCTCTCTTTCAGATATCCAAAGCAGACTCCAATATAATGACCGAAGTTGCTATTAACTGTATACAGTTTACTTTCCACCACAAAACGTCAAACATTCGTGACTAAGATGGCCCGGGGAATCAAGGCCACGGTTGTATGGCCTTTGACCCCGAAACTGAGACCTCGTACACGAGGAGACTAAGCTGGCGTGAAAGTGCAGAGAAATTTGCGATTTATGAGGTATGCGAGCTTATGGACCGCAAGGGAAACTGAATCGCGGCAAAGCGTGATGAAAATTCGCCTCGTCGCAATTCTTTCGCTCGATAAGCTATCGCGCTTCCGTGCATTAAGATTATTGTTG